AATACTTGCTGAAATCAAACTGAATCACACTTGAGATTCAAGGTCAGCATGAGAGATGATGCAGAGTAGCACAGTGGTTAAGGGTTATGCAGAAAAACATGCTCATGCTTTGGGGTTGGAGTAAGAATTGATCTCCTCCCCTTCAACTGTCCATTCCTACTCTGGGATCACCTGGATACCTGGACTGTCTAGAATACAACATGGTTTGAGAAAATGTTTCCTCAAGAAACTAGGCCTAGAACAAGGGTGGGGAACCTGTGGCCTTAAGGTGACAAGTTCCCCCCCTTGGCCTAGAACATGTGAGTATGTAGCTTTAACTTAAAGGCATAAGCAGGTTCACCTGCTCATAAATGTGCCAAGAGCAAGTGGGACAAGTGAACCCAGAAACATGAGTTAGAGAGCAAAATTCTACGGAATTGGGCCACAGAGAGCCCAGACAGTGGAAGAATAGTTTTCTAAGATCAGGAACCTTCTAAGAAATGGGAAGCATGTTAACTATAGATTCATAGTTATAATCTATCTGAAGCTCAGGGGAGAAAATCTTTCAGGACCAGCTAAGGAAATGACTCCCTTTTCCTGAGGCAGGCCACTAGATTAGATTCCCAAAAGGTAGAGTGTCTGTTCAGGTTAATTAGAATCAAAGGGAAAAAATCCAAAGGCTCAAGTCATATTGGACCAAAGGACAAAACATTGGCAGGATGAAGTCAGGTCTGAACAGAGTAGTGTTTCCCAAATGAAACTATATTTCTATCCTGTGTAAAATGTAAACTAGCCACAGCAACTGTCAGTGCCTGAGGTTGAGGGGCAGGGGGAAAATTGGGCATCATTTAAGCTTGTAAGGTACATAGTAGGAGTTTGTGGTATTAAGAATCAAAGTAGGCTGGGAATTTTTTTCTGCTGGGGATCATTGGTTGGGAACCTTTTCTCAGTCAAGCCCCAAAGGGACCATATGCTTCCATTTGAAATTGTGACTAAACTCTTAAAAGCTTAAGAATAAGTAGTATCTGCTATAGAATGATAGAACATGAGTTTTAGAAGAAATGGCCAGTTCTTCACTTTGTTTTGAGATGAGTTTTAGAATAAACTTTTGGCCAAGGTACTTTCTCCTTTAGTAATGCCATTTACTGGTACAGGTTTTTCAACTGTAAGGACTTCACCTAACCTTTCTCCAATTTTGTGCTTCTGGAACTATTCTTATCTTGTTTAGGCAGGCATTCCTTCTATTGCATCAGGGCTAAGCTAACAGTATTTCTGAATTATACTTAAGTGAACTCAACTGGGTGTGGGGCCCTCCTTCACTAACCAATTGCTTAATTACAAGATACCTAGTTTCCCAGCACAAAGTCCTCTTGACTAAAACTTATATCATGAAGTGATTAAAAAAAAAAAGCTCCCTCCCAGCTACCTGACACCCAAGCCAGGCTTTTTCTCATAAGGAATATCAAAGTTCATAAGGCAGATCAAAGTTCTGGAACTGCAACTCATTTTGTTCAAAAACCAAGGATCTATGTAGTTTTTAATTAATAAAACAATCCCTTTTATTAAGCTGCAGCATGGTATAGTGAATTCAAGTCAAAACACGTATTAAACACCTGTTGGGACAAGGCAGTGTGGTAAGGCCTGGTGCCAAAAATGCCAGTCCCCTGCCCTTAGCAAAATTATATTATGTGGGGGTTTAGGGGAAGAGTTGGAGGAGAACAGATAGCACATACACATAAGTAAATTATAAGGTGCTGAAATTGCAATGTCATTAAGGGCTAAATAGTGAGTTTCAAAAAGATTAAAATAGGAATAAATTTTCCTAAACCCAAAGCTTAATTATTAACATCAATAAAGAGTTCCAGAGAAGGCACTTCTGCAGGAATGGGCTATTTCCAATTCTTTTCCCACTCTTAGGTCTCAACCCCGCCGGAATAGCAGATTACCAGGCAGTGGAAAGTCAGGTTTCTGCTCTCCAGTGCTATACCTGAATACAACAGAGCATAGCAGGTGCTGCCTGTGAAAGGTTTGGGGAAAAAATGGAATTTAGCTTTATTTAAGTAAGCATAGCTGGAATTCCAACTCTCAGAATGAAAAGTCAATGGGCAGTGCTCTTTAACACAGTTTTTAAAAAAGTAAATACCCATGAGAGGCAGCATGGCATGATGGATACAGAGATAGCCTAAGATCTTTGAAGACCTGGGTTCAAGTCTCATCTCTGATACAAGCTATATGACTTGGGCATATAGCCTGGGCAGATTTCATTTAATATCTCACTGTTCTAGGCAACTCTCTAGGCCTGTCAGTTACAAAGAAGATGCCAACCTACTGCATTGGTAGAAGGAGTTTTCTCTATACTAGTGAAATGACAGGTCATGGATAACATGACTCAGATATGAAACTTTTCCAAATCTAGGCATGTTAGTCCAATATAACACTTTTTGTAGAAACTATTAGCAATGAAGACAATCATCTAACTCACTATCTTCCCCTTGAGAGAGAAGAGAAGGAGGGATCATCATTGATACAGACATTATCTGGTGCTTAGCTATATGGGACAAGCTCTCAACTGGTACAAGTTAGCTCTGTTAAGGTCAAAACAAGGATATTACCTGTTCCCTTGTCTCTGGATCCACACTTTGATGTGAAGATGTATTAAAACAATCTCAAATGAAACTGAATTCTCCTCTCAGAAAAGAATCTTTAAAAAGAAAAACTAGATTGGTGGCAAGTGAATATAAACTCCAAATCTCCTACTTTGAGTTATGATAAAAAAAAGACATAAAACCCCCACATATGCGCAAATCTAAAGTCAGCTTTCCCAGATGTGCCCTCGCAAGGTCAGGTGGAGCCCTGTCCTTTAATACATTCCGTGTTTATCTGGAGTTCAGTCTTACCTCCTTTAGCTCTCTAATAATGTGACCTTTGGGGTAAACACTGTTTCCTAGCGTCTAGTTTGTTTCACAAACGGTAAAAATCTAAATGGGCAGGAAAGAGAGAGTAAAATTCATCGCAGTAGACTCAAGTTTGTGACCGGAGGTAATTTTTCCAAATCTTATAACAATTTAGCAACAGTATAGTTAGAAGGAGTGCTGAATTTGGAGATGGGAGACTGGGGTTTACTTTCCAGCTGCGATGCTTATTAGCTATGTGACTATGGGCAAGTCACAATCTCTGAGTCTGACTCCTCAGAGTGAAGTGGGGTCTGTTCTACCTTCCTCACAACCCTAAGAGCTAAGTGATTTGGAAATGCTGAAATGCATTTAAAGGTTAGTTATCATTTTCAACAACAAACACAGAAAATCAGCCTTGATTTGATATATCAAAATGCTATCTCCCAAAATGACTTCTCCCAAATGGAATTCCCTTTCAATGTCTGAAACCATGTACGTCACCTTCTAGAACTACCTTAAAAATTGCCTCCTCCAAGAAATCTTCCTGAAGTAATCTTCTTTAACCCTGATCATCCTTTTAACAACTCATTCATTTTATACATCACACATACAGTATCATTGAATAAGTCTACATTGTTGCCCACGCGTTATCTACTAGTTTGGTTAGCTTCTAAGGAAATTCTTAGGAGACCTCCCCAAATTAGAGGGCACTGCACATAAATGTCTAGGAATTAGTTAACTAGCTGAAGAAGTGATGTTGATTTCAGTCTGAGATTTCCGGCCATATGGAATTTCCCTGGGGAAACAAAAAAGTTCGGAAAGAGCTCCAAACTGAACAAGTTAACACTGTACTTGGACTCTAACACAAGGGTAGGAGCCACAGGAAGGAGAACGATTCCCACTTTCACCAGTTTTTAGAGGTTATTGGTTTTTTCTTCGTAGTGTTTGTGGTGTGGCCAATAGTACTAATGATACATGTAAAACTATGGCAACCTTCCTGTTGACTCTTTTGCTTCATGATAACCCATGAACTTAAATCCCAAGACATAGAAGTGAGATATTTAAGGAAGGACACGGGAAGCTATGGAGGAGAAACAGTTACAGGAGAGAAAAAGGCAAGGCCAGAAAAAATTCAAGCTTGCAAACTTCCTCCCACCTCTCACCCCCAGCCTAACAAAGGAAATGCTGGCAGCCTAAAGCTGATTCTCAGGAGCCTGCAGCATCACTGGCTATGCTCCAGCACCTTTACGTGGGAGGTGTTTAGCTCCAATACGAATAAATCTCTGCACAGCTTTATTTAAAATGTAGTCATAGGCACATTCCAACCTGCAGAGATAAAATATTACTTTTTGAAAATTCTGTGAAGAGATAAAATGAGGCAGAGTCACAATTACCATTAAAGAGTTGGGACTTGATCTAGATGAGATTTACACTTTGGCTCAAATAGAGAACTACTGGACCTGATTTCATTAACAGGGGAAATTTCCTCAACCAATAAAGGGCAGCACTTTCCCTTCAATTACAGCTCTAGAGAATTGCCTAGACGAGAGGTTTCAAAAACCTGGCTATGAGAACATGAAGTGTGTAAAATTCCTGAGTGTGGCCAGAACCAGACTAAAATGTAATTGGGGAATGTTTAACAAAATAAATAAAAATGCAATAAAATGTGGATAATATTAATTTGTGGTTTTCTAGGTCAGTATACTGCTTGCAGGGATCCTTATGAATACTCTTTTGCTATGTGAGTTTGACACCACTGCAGTAGTGAAATCTTGCTCCTCTGTTAGTGGTATCAGAGACAGAACAAGATCTTACATCTTCCTGAATCAGAGTCCAGCTCTCTTTCCACCAAACCATACTGTCTCAAATTCATAAAAACTGTTAATAGAATGGGAACAATGACAGATATAATGCCAAACTGGATTTTGTGAAAATAATTTACAATTGCTTTTGAAATGCATCTTTTTTTTTTTGCTTAAGTGTTTACCTTCCTAATTATATTTTACCAAGCCAAATAGTTATATTAGCTTGATTCCCAAAACATACAAGCTGGTCAGTGGGGAAAAGCAAATAGACAAGAATATAACAGAAAATGAGCAAAAAGTAACCTAGAATCAAATAACCTACCCAGATTGCTGAAGATAATGAGTCAGTGCTTTAGTAGTAAAGGATGTTATAAATGTCCTTCAGGCTGTAAAAAGATTCAATAGATTGTAATAAGGATATTTGAAGACTCAAAAATGGCAGTAATAAATGCTTCTAGGTGGCACAGTAGATAGCACACTAAGCCTGAAGTCAGAAAGACTTCTCATCCTGAGTTCAAATCTGGCCTCAGACACTTGTTGGCTATGTGATCCGGGGCAAGTCACTTAACCCCAATTGACTCCCAAACCCTCAAAACAAAAGACTGGGAAGGTAGGAAGGGGCTAGGTTGTGAAAAACCTTAAATGACAAATGGAGGAGTTTATATTTGATCATGGAAGTGAGACCTACTGGAGTTTACTGAGAATGGGGAGTGACAAGGTCAGACTTTTGATTTTGGAAAATCACTTTGGAAGGCTATATGGAGAATGGATTGGAAAGGGGAGAAAGTTCAGGCAACGAGATAAATCTGGAGGCTATTGAAATAGCCCAGGCAAGAGGTGACAAAGACCTGAAATAAAGGGGTAGATGTGTAACTAGAAAGATGGGGACATATACAAGAGTAAACATAGTAAAGAAAAGATTTGGCAGTTACTTGCCTGAGAAACTAGGAGGCTGTGGTACCCTCAACAGTTACAGGAAGTTGGAGAAGAGAAGAAGGTTTTGGGAAACAGATAACAAATTCTGTTTTGGACGTAATGAGTTTGAAAGCATGAAAGGGATAGTTCAAAATGTCCACTAGTTGGATATATATATGCGAGTGTGTGTGTGTGTGTATACACATATACACACACATATATACCAGCTGCATAGAGATAATTAAACCCAAGGGAGCTGATGAGAGCATAGAGGGAAAGGGTAAAGAGAAAAAAAAGGAGAGGGCCAGGAGAGACCCTTTGGGGACACCCTTAGAGGTTATTACAAAGATGAAAATCCAGCAAAGTAGACCGAGGAACAGTGGAATGAGAAAAGAACCAAAAGAAGGTAACATCACACAAACCCTGACAGAATATCTATTACAGGGTTGTGACCAACAGTGTCAAATGCTGCAGAGAAGTGAAGAACGTTGAGGATTGAGAAAAGATCATGCAATTCGGTAGTTAAAAGATAATTGGCAACTCTGGAGTGAGCAGTCTCAGCTGAATGATGAGGCTGCAATTTGTTTAGAAAAGAGAAAATTGAAACATCATTTATAGGTGACTTTCCCCCATACTTTGACAGCCTCATGGAGGATGGATTGAAGTGAGAAAGACTTGAGGCAGAGACATGAATTAGAAAGCCATTTCAGTAGTCCAGATGAGATGACAGAGGCCTGAACTAAGGTGGTGGTCCTGTCGGTAGTGAGTAAATCAAAAGACAACCTTTGATTTTGTTTAAGGCCTTACTTAGTATCAAATAATCTGACCTTGATAACTAATGAGGACCTTTAAAGGATCTATATAGGCTTTCAAAACTCTGCCATGATTGAGTATCCACAATGACATATCATTATCATTATCATTATATATAGGAATATCATTGTGTCAGAATGAAAATGAACAACTTTATTCTTCCAAAAGGGTAAAAGGATCCTAAGTCACCTTCTTCATATTACAGATGAGGGACCTGATGCCCACAGCAGTGGAATGCTTTACCCAAGGTCACACAAGTAGGAAAGGGGGAGAACTGGGACTCAAACCCAGGTTTTGTGACTTCTTTCCAAAACACTGTAGCAGACTGTTCTGATTTCATCTTTAGAAATCCATTTAAACCCATCCAAGGCTCACAGTGTCCAACTCAAGCAAGACTTTAAAAGCACAGCAAAACTAGAACCCTTCCAAATGCTGCAGTGTGGTGTGTGCCCAATAACCTTGAGGGTCTTCCATTAGCAATAGGTTGCATGTGATCAGCAATTTTCCCAAGAGCACCCTACTGTCTACAGGAGAGAACTCCTATGGCTGCTTTAGGAAGGCTCTGCTAACCCAGTCTGGAAAAGCCAGGAATTTGAAGTCAGAGGAGCAGGGTCCTCGACCGAGCACTTCTACTTACTACTGGTGCGACCACAGGCAAGTCATTTAACTTTTCTGTGCCTCAGTTTCCCCATCGGTAAAAAATGAGGGGGTTGGACTAAATGACACCCGGTTCTTTTAGCTTTAAATCCCCATATTCAACCCTACACTTTGGCTTTAAGGAAATTCACCACAGTAACAAATGCTGTAGCTACAAAACAAGTTTGTGGAGGCAATCCCCCAAATCTTTCCTACTATCGTGTTTCTCCCCCAAAGGATGAGGGTCATCCTGCTGCCTTCAGCAGCCTTCCTCCCAGAGTTTAGCCTTTCGCTTTCAGCTTTTCTCCACTCCTGGCGCTAATACATAGCTAATAAACTCTAGAGATCAAAGGGGAAGGTATTAAAGATGGAAGTTTGACACGGAAGCCACAACTTCAGAGAATGACTCAAGGGCAGCAGCCTTCCAGCACTAAGTCCCGCAGCCCCACCCTGGTTCCACTGGATCTCTCTGCATCATCGGTACTGGGATAGCTCCTGAAAATCCTTCCGCAAATGCCAAGCAGTATTTTAAAATTGCATCCCAGAGACTGTCCCCCGTGTCCCTGGCCCCATCACCAGGCCTCCTGGCATTCTGGCAACTACTGCAGTAGGGAGCAAACCAACATACACGTGCAAATAAAAATGGACAAAACGTTTCCAGGAGGCAGGAAAAAAGAGAGCCTCAATTCCCTGGGCGGTGACCGGCTCCTAGCAACAACTCAGCCGCCCCCGCCCGTGTTCCCAAAAGGGAGTCTTGCTGGCTGCATCCGGGGCTGCAAGCCTACTAGGCCAGCTCGGAAACCCCAATGTCATCGAAAGAGGCCCGCGGCAGCCCTAGCCCCGTGACCTTCTGTCTCCCCCGCGCCGCGCGTACTTTCAGTTCAGAGAGGCCCAGGGAAAGCGCTCGGGCAGGCAGTGCTCGCTAGATGTGCACCCAACGAGGGGCGGGAGGTGGGGAGGATAAGGGACGCAACCAAGAAAGCCTTGACCTTGGAGCTCCCCCTGACTACTCAGCCTGTGACCCTGCTTCCTAACCCCTCCACCCGTGACTCTGACAGGCTGGGGAGGGGAACGAGACGGGGAGCAAAGAGGTAGCTTTCTGAATTGAGAGAAAAGAGAGAGAAAGAGTCCCTAAAAGCTAATCAGCACGCCTAGGCGATTGGGGTTCTAGTTAGGGTCCGGAGAAGGGGAGGCGGTTGAGCCAGAGCGAGTGAATGGGACCCTCCTGCTCAGCTTAGCAGTCCACAGCCCCCATCCACTTACCTAAATTACCTTCCCCCAACAGGAGCAAGGCGATCTGAATAGGTAGTAGAGCACTCTACCGACAAACAGGCAGACAGGAGAAAAAGGAGGAGGAGGAGGCTGTGCCCAGAGTGGACCACGCCCTCGGAAGAACTCCTCCCTTCCCTAGGCACAGGCCACTCCTTTTCCCTCCCTTCTCTTCTCTTGGGCGGGGCTCTAGAGTCCAAGGATGGGCGCCTGGGGAAGAATGCGGTTGGAATAGCGAGAACCATGGCCTGATGTTTCTCTGCACTGCGACACCCCCTTTCCAAGAACCTAACTCATCAAGGTGGTCCTTTGTTCCCATCCCTGGCTCCACCGACGCTCTACTCTTTGCTGTCTCGCAGGCGGGAAGTAGCGCGTTATTACTTTCGCCTCCACAGAGCCACCGTAGTTCTGCTTTATTTTTTTAAGGTCTGCGGAGAAAGCAACTCTAGCTTTTGATTCTCCCCTCCTTCTATTTGGCAGAAATACATTGCGGAAACCCGGCCGGAGGGCGGGAGGTACCTCTGCCCCAGTGACTCCTTTAGCAGAAGCTTGGGAATCTGTGATATGTTACTACTGTTCCTTGTTTTTAAAAATGCCTAGATTTGGGGGAGAATCTAACTCTGTACTCCTAGTTATTACTTTCATTTATTGCTTTTTTTCTTAAAAACATCAATAATTTCCCAATATCCTCCTTGGTAGCAAAGATAAATTTGGGCAAAAATCCAAGTAGCCTAAAACCTTCTCTTCTACCGGAAGAAAGAAGGCAAGTTTCCTTTAAGATTCCGACCCTTAATTGTACACTACCTCTGTTAGGTAGATTCTGCATTTCACCAAGAATTTGAAACAGAATTTAGCAACTTGGGTAGAGAAGGAGAGGTGGCATTCATGCTGGTGATGTTTTACTTAATTCCCGTTTGAGTCTGGGTGGTTCCATTGTTCCCTGCCCCTCCCCTCCCCTCCCCCCCTTTTAATAATAGCTAACATTTTTATAGCTCTTACTATGTGCCAGGCACTGTGCTAAGCGCTTTACAATTATTACCTCATGTGATTCTCACGAGAGCCCTGGGAGATAGGTGCTATATTACAGATGAGGAAACTGAGGCAAACGGAGATCAAGTGACTTGCCCAAGGTCACAAGGCTGGTAAGTGTTTGAGGCTGGATTTGAACGAAGGTCTTCTGGACTTGGGGAAGGGGGGAGGTTCTCTATTGACTGTTTAGAGGTCTTTTGACTTCTAGGTCAAATTTCTTCTGTGAAGTTTGGATTCAGTCAGAGGGCCGAACTTGAGGGCCTCCTGGGTCACAGGTGGCCTCGAGGCTGAAGTTTCCCCACCCCAGTCCTAGCCCCTTCTGTTTCTAGAAGGAAGGGACAAAGAGCCACTCCACTCTAGGATACAGCTCTGCTGTTTCCTTCAACAGAGTCTCTAAACTGCCTCAGCTGTCCAACATTTAATAGAGGCATGACAGCAAGGGACAACACCAGTGTTAGAATATAAATTATTTCCAAAATGTTAATGGGGAGAATTATGGGAGAAGATTATGAGTCAGAGTGAACGGATGAGGTAGAGAGGAAATAAATGAATAAAAATAAGTAAATAAAAATAAAGGTGCAGAAATCTTGAGGTGAGACCCAGTAAGCTAAGTCATTCTAAGAATATGTGTAGATGGCGGTTGGGAAGAGAACAGATAGATGAAAAATGGGACAAATTTGCCAACATCTCCATAGAGACCAAATTTTCTTTTTAAATTATTTATGACAATACAAAACCAGCAAAATCAGGAGAATGGCAAAAGTTAATTAGCATTTAGGAGAAGTGACCCTTTGCACCCAACAGGCCAAGCTAGCAAGCCTAAGATCCAGAATATACTATTTTATTCCTTTAAACTGAGCAATTTACAAATGGAACACATGATTCCAATATGAACCCAGATTTTCATAGTCACAAAAGCTGAAGAAACTTTGAAGTCTCCATGACAGCACATTGTCTGTTATCCCACTCAACATTTTAAAAATCAGATCCTTTAACTTATTACCAAAACTATGGGATGGTGGGGTTCAAAACATGAGAACACATGAGATAGTGGGGAAGGCTTCAGAAGGTGTGGTTGAGGATGCAGCTGCCACTAGTCTTTTGACATAGTGTCATGACCTTAAACTTTTGAAGTTCTCTGTGCCCAACATCCCAAGTAGCTTACAGAACAGCCCAGTGCAAGAGATATTCTCAGTAATATGTAGACATCAAAGGAAGACTATCTAGAAGCACCAGGTGCCTTTGGGCTTTATAATTCTACTGTACTAGCTCTACTGTCAACATCATTAGCTCTGCTATCATATTGCAGGGGCCAATTTAGGAAGACCATTCTAGAGGTTCTGGGTTTTCCGGCATTTATATATTTGCCATCGAAGACCAGGAGAGAAGCTGATAACTACGTTAAGGCTCTTGATGACTGTTTGAGCCCTTAATTCAACTACCCAACTTCCCTGATTGTGCTAAAAGTATCACACCTTCTAAGGCCCTTCTCTTTTTTCACCCTTCATGGATTAGATTTGGTGGAGAATGTGACCTGATCTTCCTACAAATACCTGGGGTGAATAGGCGCATATCTATAAGGAAATGGGCAGTTTCCTTTTCTCTGTTGGACAGCAGCAAGTTTGCAACAAAGCTGTAGCTGGTTGCTGGTTTTCTAGTTTCTCTATTGTTAGCTGTTCAGAACAACTGCAAGTCCTGTACCATAAGGCCTAGTGTACTTGTGTCCAGAATTCTGTGCACATTTTTTCTCAAAGATTTTCTTTTCAGGCTTTCTCTCAAATCTATTAAACAACTGTAGGAAAAGAGTGAACCTAACGTATAGAGAGGTCCACCAGCGGTGAGGGTTGTTGATATGTGGCTTGAAGAGAGGCAGAGTAGACATCCCTAGACTCTTCTCCTCTCACCCTTCTCCTAGGGAGGGAGACTTTCATTCTTGCCAAGAGGGGAAACAGGATCTGGGGGCTGGTTGCTACTCTCCTCTCCTCAGAGAGAGGGGGTACTGGACTAGAATTATATCTATCTACTCCCTTAAATAGTTAGTCTAGGCCTAGACTCTAGTGCAGGGGTGGGGAACCTGCAGCCTCAAGGCCACATGTGGCCCTCTAGGTCCTCAAGTATGGCCCTTTGACTGAATCCAAACTTCACAGAACAAATCCCTTTAATAAAAAGTTCTGTTCTGTAAAACTTGGACTTAGTCAAAAGGCTGTACTCAAGGACCTAGGAGGCCACATGTGGCCTTGAGACCACAGGTTCCCACCCCTGTTCTAGGGGATATGATTTGGTTCAAACTAACTTCTAATCAATTTGTTATTGTTAATGGGTTGAGGGGGACCCCAAACTCCATATTCAAACCTTGACTCCTTTCCCATCAAATACTAGTTCCACAATAGGAATAGCGTAAAGACCCATTTCTCTAACTTATAGAAAAATAGAAATTGGAGAAGGTATGCATAGGAGATATATACCAGACAATAACACAGCTAAAGCAAGAGGGATTGTCCTTGATCTCTCCCAAGGGGAAATTCCCTGAAATCTTCAGTGTAGCAAGCTGGAGATAGGGACATGATTGGGACTGCCAGCTCCACATGTCTTCCCAGAGTCTTTTCCTTCAGCAACCTGAAGTGGGATTGGCCTCTTCCATCTTCCTTCTTGAAGCTAGAAGACAGAGGCACTCAAAGTGACCCAATACTTGAAGACTTAAAGCTTGAGGAGTCCCGAAGGGGTCCTTCTTTAAGAAAGGGATTCTTATTTAAAGTGTCTCCAAGGAAAGTGGGGGACTACCTTTGAAAAGTCCCAAAGGGGGACTGCCTTTGGAAAGTCCCAAAGGGGACTGGCCAAGAACTGAAGCTCTCTCACCTCTTACCAACTTTGGCCTGCCCCTCATGCAAAGAGAGAGTCCCATACTAATGGGCTTTGGGACAGGAGTTAAACAGTTGGTCAATAAGGTTATAATGTACACAGGATGTCCTGGAAAAGTTGGAGAGCTTTCCATTTTCTGATGACCTTGGGAGAAACTTCCAAGGAGAAACCAGTTATAAATAGAACAGATGGAGAACTAATTGAGGATTCCAAGTCCCATGAATTTGTCCTAAAATGTTGATTTGAGGGAATATTTCAATCTGCTTGTCTGGCTTGCCAAAATGCTTTTTTTTTGGGGGGGGGGGTCATGGCCGTATTACTAGTTATAGTTCTGGGGTGAGGTGAGAATGTCATCTTTATTCTAAGATTCTTTCGCCTATCCTGCCCAATTTTAGAATTATCTACCTGGATGAACTAATTCATTTAGTCTTCCAATCTTAGGCTTATTCTCAGCCCATCAAGAAGGCTTTGGGTTGAATAACAGTTTTGTTGCTATCCATATTACCATAAATTTACTTAGCAAGCTTGCTGTCCCACCAGAGGACAAACAAGGAAAAATAGATGAGGAGATTAGGACAGGCTCTCTCTCTCTCTCTCTCTCTCTCTCTCTCTCTCTCTCTCTCTCTCTTTCTTTCTCTTTCTCTCTTACACACACATACACAGCCTGGCTCTTAATAAATATATATATATATATATTTATATATATATATTAGTTTGACATTTTATTTTGTTGTTTCTGGTCCAGTATGTGTTTTTCTCACATAAAAACCTTCAGAGAAAATGCGTCTCAGATCCATAGCCTACTCCTGAAGGCTAAGTAGGAATCAGTCATCACCTTTCTATTTTCAGAGGTGATAACAGAAGCTCAAGGGTAAAATAACTCACCTGAAGTGACTCAGGGAGTCTTAAGTGGAGAGGTCAGGGACACTAATGCTCATCTTTCCCATTTCTGATAACTACTACTCTAGTTGACAGACAAAAACTAGGTAGCATTATCCTCTCAGGGAGAAAAATACTGATTGAGAAGAAACAATAATGATAGTAAGAGTTAGAATTTATAAAGTACTTATTTAAGGTTTACAAAGCTTTTTGCAAATATAATCTTATTTGCTCCTCACAACCATCCTGAGAGATATTCCTCATTTTACAGATGAGGAAACTGAGGTAGACAGATTTTAGGTGATTTACCCAGGGTCATATAGTATCTAAGGAGG